TCAGGGATTTTATTAATTTCTGAACGTCACATGGTCTGATCCTTAGAGGGGGGGTTTTCATCCACCGCTTCCAGCAGAGCTTGAACTCTAGCCTCCACCCGATCTTCATGGTTTTCATCGCACAGGTCATGTGTCGTGAACTGAATTTCCAAACAGTCGGCAATTTCGTTGGCTTTTCAGAAGGATGAAATTTTAGGCGAGAAGAACCATGAACAGCTGTTGGTGCCCTTGGTCCGTCTCTATGAAGGAGAGATTTCGCAATGGGCCATATACACGGAGGCGTGACTTCAGCGTTACTTATTTTTGTTTCCCACCGTTCAAGTGCCTTTTTACTGGTCATCCGCCTGATTGATTTGGGGACCCAATTGACTGACGTTTTACATGCTGGATCCCTGGTTTCTTGCCACAGTTTTCGTAGCCTCTGCTTGTATTTAATCAGACGATCTAGACCAGGAAGATCGTTGTTTAAGTCCGAAAATGTAAGTTTACTTGTCGACATCCTGTATGCCGAAGCAATAGAGGCTGCAAAGTCGCGTGCCGCTTTATCGGCTTCAACCCCCGAATTAATTTCTAGTTTAGGTGATATTAATTCAGAAGCGAGGCTTTGAAACAGCTCCCAATCTGTAAATTTTTCAATATGTTCAGAAAGGTTGCTAATTTTAACGTGATCCAGTATGTGAAATAATATTAGTAGGCGATCTGAATCCAAAATATCAGAGACGATGACCTCTGACACTCTGATATTTTTGTGAACCACAATGTCTAACACGTCACCATTTCTCGCAGGGGAATAATGAGTGGGGCACTGTGGTGCTGAGATTTCGAAATCGCCCATATAAAATAAATTCATGAGTATCAAACCTCAGAGGTTTGAAACTCTGCTATACCAAATGGGTTCTTAGCATTCAAATCACCTGCCAAAATAGACTTTCTTCTGAAGCTTAAGAGCTCAGTGATGTCAGCATCACTCCAGGTTTTGCCTGGAGATCTGTAAACACCTGAAAGCAACACTTCGCTCTTACCAATTGGTATGCAGACCCCTGTCGCTTCTACTGAAACAAGGGGTGGTAGGTCTACATGGTTATGGGGAATGCCTTTCTTACTGCAACGGCAGTTGCGCCGTTTCTGCCCGAGTGGCGGTCGATTCTATAAAATTGGTAATTTGGAATAAAGGACCTCTCATGAGGTTTCAGGTGTGTCTCTGAAAACAGGGCCACATCTACGTGTAGGTCTTGTAGCTGTTTATTGAGCTCATAGCGCTGTTTCCCCATGCAATTCGCGTTAAATGCTATGACTTTGAGGGGCCTATGAACTCTAGTGGCCATTCTGTTTCATAAAGTTTAGAACAATTTTGGTAATGGCCATTATTTTGTCCTTCTCGGACACTGCACCACTGACTTCTGTCATAATCTGCTGTACTACAGTCACTACTCTCAATATATTGTCGGGAGACTGATCGTTTACATTAGTAGTCTGAACTGACTGACCTGTTTCTTTCTGTAGTGCAGGGGCCGGTACAATTTGCTTCTTTGTAGTGGCTGGAGCCACCGGAACATGGCTTTCCTGAGGGCGCTGATGCTGCTCTGCTGCACTGCCTCGGAGTGCCGCTGCGATGGATTCACCTGGAGTTACGGTTGCTGAAGAGAACACCCTCCCCGTAGTTTTGGACGTTCTCTGAACCCTCCTTCTCTGTTGCTATTTTTTGGCACGTTTGCAACCCCAATAATTGGCGGGATGTGGCTTTTCTTCCTCCGCCAATCGGCAGTTGCAGCATACTGGGGTGGAGGCAGAGTTCTCCTTCTCTGGGCACTCCTTGTGTAAGTGGCCACCTCCGACCACAAACAACGTGGGGGCTGTTTGCAGTTAGCCCAAACGTGGCCGAACTGCTGGCAGTTGTAGCACTGTGTGAGCCTGTTTTGTGCCTTGTATGCCTCTACCTTGATGGCAATGTGGCAGAGGTTGGTCAGTCGGAAGATTTCTTGGGACTTCTCAGTTCTGGGAAGTGTAACAAGGAACAAGGGAAGGTAGATGGTATGTGTTCCTTCTGGAGGAGTCCGACGACTGGTCATTTGTTTGACGCTAATGATGTCAAACCCCAGACTCACCAGACCGTCAGAGATATCTTCCGCTGGAGTATTTTGGGGAAGGTGGCGGATGACAGCTTTGATGTTTTTTTTTCTGATTTTGGAAAGTAGGAAAAGTAAGCCAAATTGCTGTCTTCAAGAAATTTCTTTATGGCTGAAAAGTCCGCCATGTCTTTTGTGAGAATTCTGGTCCCACTTCTTGTGTTACGGAACTCAAAACTGTCATTAGTAATGTCTTTGAAATTCCTCTGCAACTGTATCAGGTTAGTTGCATAGTTTAGGACAATGGGAGGAGGCCTACCTAACCTGCTGCAAGATGGTTGCTCTTCTTTGTCGGATGTCTTCTCCGCGACGTCCATTTCTGTTGCCCTGAGGGGCGAGAAAAAGGTTTTCGTTGGTACTTCAACACGGGATTTTATCCTGGGGTCCCTTGGGCTAGGTGACGGCTTTGGCTTTTTAGTCTGCTCCTCTGAGGGGTTTCGTTTACGTCGTCATTGTTTCCGAAATTCCTCAGTTGATTCTTCTTTCTGCCCCAGCAGGAGCGACTCTCGCAAATCCCTGTGGATGGAAGCGTACAAGCCCAGCATGGCTGTAAATAGAGCCTTACCGTCGAGATGCTTACATAGCACTGTTCATTCAGACTCGGATTTTGTAATGATTTTGCTCCAAACTCCGCCCTTTCCATTTATGGAGGGCTATGTCTGGATAAGCTGCCATATTATTTGTAAGCCTTTGCCTGTCAGTTCGATTTCCTCCTGGCAGTCAGGGTTATTAGTTTTTAAATTTTCGTGGTTCCTGTCAAAGGAAGCCACGATTGCATTCCACCGCATTCCAGCCCACATTTTGAAAAGTAATATTCGATCAGGTGATCATCATTATCATCATCGAGACAGGAGAGGGGATTGAGTTGGTTCGGAGTGATCAGTCTGTTTGACGATTCGTCTTGACTCGGTCGTTGAAAAATTTTGCCAGGTGGTGGAAGTTTGGCAGGAGTGAGATTAGTTCGAGAGACGCTTACGGAAGGAGTTTTTGAGCTGTCTCAGGTGACGATAATCTTTGAGTGTGTTCGTCTGCAGCCACCTAGTTGACTTTTCTGCCACCAGTGTATAATGCGCGGCTAGTGCATCGGAGGCGGTGGCTGTGCCGTCTGCAACGGACGAAATGACGGAGCCGATATCTTGTGAACTGGAAATAGAGCGTAATCTGCTGTACTGAGCCTGGACTGAGAGAGGCCTAGTTTAATTGTACACAAAAGTAAGAAATAAGTGTGTATTGTAAATTTATGTAAATACAGACAGTGGACATATTAATACAGAGTGACTGAGGAATGACAGACCCGACCTTTCGTCAGAGATGGCGCCGAACGTAGACAAGACAGTACCTTTCATTCAAAAGTAATATCTGGTCATGAGCCCCAGCTGGGGCTCGACTCCAAGACAGACAGACTGACTGACCGTCAGTTGCAACATGACTTTGACTCTGACTTATTGATCTAGGAGTGAGTGTTGTCAGTTAGACCGGCGAAACAGCGTGTAAGTATTTGGGATGTTCCCGCACACCCATTCATACAGCGTCTGTATTCAACCATGCACGTGAAAATATTAATAATATCATATTTTATAGGATGCCATGAATGAAAAGAAAATAAGACAACACAGAGACGAATTTTGGAGATGTGATTCAAGATCATTGACACAATTGCAGAGCTCAGCCTTTCTCGTGGCCTTCATTACACGGAGCAATGAAAATGTACGTCATTACTAATAGTTGCCTCGATCTGTTGCAGGAATTTCCACGAATGACAGGCGGGCGAGGTTTGAACGACCAGAAGATACCATCGGTGCATCTTTAAAACCAGGATCCAGCATGGCCTTGAGGCACAGCCTGTTTCCAAGGCGTCGTACTATTTTGACCTATCCCATCCCCGATTACACTCAAGTGAAGCCTAAAACGCACACTTATAATACACCGAAAACTTGTGGCCAAAACATCCAGGTGGGTGGTGATTTGACATATTCCGTGGTTTACATTTAAGTGAGAAATCTTCCTCGTAGTTGTATCGTCTTACTTTTCCTTTCCCTCTGCCCTGCTTTTCTGCTTTACTGAATGCATTCAGAGTTTCACTTATAATTTTTTCTTCTCTATCACTGATTGATATTTGATATTGCTGGAAGATACACAAAAATTATGAAGGTGCAGGTATGTGTGATATTTGATGTTAATTAGTGAAATTCAAACACAAATTTGTATTGGTGTACTTACAAGAATGTTCATCACGCACATTTTGATGCAGCTCCCAGTTGGTCGCTTGACGCGGTGTGAAACATCCACTTCCCACAACATCCCCAACCTCACTAAACACCCGTTCATATTGTTTGGTAGCCGACGATACAGGTTTGAAATTGAGCAAATAGTTGTAGGTGTTCACCAGATCAGGAAAAATATTGACGTCAAAATTATTTAAAAAAATAATTGAAATTACGGATACTCCATCCAATGATTACAGGTACAGTTTATATAAAAGAAATTTCAGTCCATGCGTGAGTCTTTGGTTTTCTTATGTTCCTATATTCTATATTTCACAGCCCTGCGTTATGTACAGATTAGAGAGCTCGGTGTCTTTTTCTGTCTAGATTTCGGATGTACAAGTTCGCAGGCAGGAGAAGAATGCAAGAAACAACGAAGACAATTTCAAGAAGCCTTCCAAGATACCTGTATTGGTCAAATCAAAGGTAAGAGGATTATGGAAGGGAGTCCACTCTAATCGTATACTAATTATATTATTACATTAGTGTTAAATCTGTGGAAAAATAAAATTGCTGAAGAAATTCTTTATAAGGAAGAATTAAAAGTAAAGTCGAACACTCATTTAATTTTTGCTTTCAGGTTGGCATATTTTTACAAAAAATCGGAAAATGTGTACAATTCCAGAAATATTTAACTAACGGAGAAAACAAATACAACTTCGTCGCAACAAGTATCATGTTAATATTGGTAAATGCATTATTTGGGGCCCTTCCAGCAGAATATCGTTATGATTTAACGCAACCACCCAGCTTTTGTACTTCCCATTCTGCCCCACCCTTTAAATGGCGTATTTGAGGTTAACTCCAAGGCAAACATCCAGTTTTGTTCGTGGTATATCGATGGCTTTCCACTTTACTGCACGCAAACAGTGCCCATTTATCATCAGCTTCTAATTATTTTCTTGTCATAACAGATTTATTTTTGAAAGTCTGTAAGCAGTATACAGATATTATGCAGGTGGATATATAAGAGATATATTGTGAAAGTACATGAAATTCGAGGAAAATTTTCGGTAGTTATGCTGCCATCAATATACACCACACACGGGTTGGCGCAGCCTCCAAGAGGTAACAGTATCTGCGGTTTGACGTTTCTTCAAGTTATTTGGAGAATTTCAGTACAGAGCAAAGCATATTTTCGGCAAGTCGTGGAGGCAGAAATTATTTTGAGCAAACAGTTTGTGTTGAACCTCGTTCTCGGCAAATTACGGCTCAACATTTTAGCTTAAATGAACTGTAGCTACTGAATTTCCGACAACTGGATGCCCGTAAGAGCCCATATCAAGATATATGATATGAGGTCATTTATATGATACGTGCATTTGGCTTTTGCCGGGACTGCTAAATATGAACGGTTAAAAGAGGAAATTATTGAGGAAAATCTCTTAGCAAAACCCCACATTATGATTTTTTCATTCGTGCTGTGTACATTCGAGCTCTGTGATTTTTATCTCTAGGTCTCGGAAGGACAAGACCGCAGGCAGGAACAGGAAACCACAGCCAAAAGGGATTGGAAGGGGGCGAAGCCTTCCAAGATACCTGTATTGATCAAATCAAAGGTACGATAGTTGTAATGGGATGCCTGTCTAATTCAGCATTAGTTTATTTCTTATTGTCATCAACACAATGTAACTGATAGCACGCTGTTGCAGCAGAACTGATTTTGAACAAACAGTGTGTGTGGAACCAAGTTCTCGGCAAATTACGGCACAAAATTTTAGCTTAAAAATTAATTGTTGCTACTGAATTTACGACAACTGGATGCAGGTAAGAGCCCATATCAAGATCCATGATATGAAGCCATTTATGTGTTACGTGCATTTGGCTTTTGCCGGGACGGTTAATATTAACTATTAAAAGAGGAATTTATTGAGAAAAATCTCTTAGCAGAAACCCGCGTTATGATATTTTCATTCGAGTGCTGTGTTCTTTATCTCTAGGTCTCGGAAGGTCAAGACCGCAGGCAGGAGCAGCAAGCAACTCCAAAGAGGGACTGGAAGGGTTCGAAGCCATCCAAGATACCTATCAAATCAAAGGTACGATAGTTGTAATTGGACGCCTCTCTAATCCTGTATTAGTTTATTTCATATTGTCATCAACACAATGTAACTAATGGCACGCTGTTGAAGCAGAACTGATTTTGAGCAAACAGTGTGTGTGGAACCTCGTTCTGGGCAAATTACGGCTCAACATTTTATCTTAAAGATTAACTGTAGTTACTGATTTTCCGACAACCAGATGCGGGTAAGAGCCACACCAAGATACATGAAATGAGGTCACATATGTGTTGTATGCCTATTTCTTTTACCGGGAATGCCAAATATGAACTAACAAAATTATAAAATTTTGAAAAAACTTATATAATGATTTTACAATCGTGCTGTATAAATTAGAGCCGGAAACTGATGCCGGAAGCAGCGTCATCAGCAGAGACTTCAAACACAGAGCAAATGATGCTCGAGATGGTTCAAGTTCGTATAGCAACAGGCGTGACCAGAGTGGTTTGAACGTCTGTTGTACTGCGATGTGGAAAGCAAATGGAAAAACTACCACATTATCACTTTTCCTGGATAGTCCCTTTCCAAAAACAGAGATACAATGATAAAACAAATCGGAGGGGCGGATAGAAGTGCCCAGAAGACGAGAAAGAAGATGTAAGAAGATGCTGGATGACCTTGGGTACAGAAGAGGATATTTTAATTGAAGGAGAAAGTTTGAGATCGCATTAAGTGGAGGAACTCTTTTGGAAGAGACTGTGGACCTGTCGTCTGACAGATTACTGATGAATGAATGAATGAAATTATAGCGCTGTCTGATTTATCTCTAGGTCTCGGAAGGACAAGACCGCAGGCAGGAACAGCAAGCAACACCCAAGAGGGATTGGAAGGGTTCGAAGCCTTCCAAAATACCTGTATTGATCAAATCAAAGGTATGATAGTTGTGAATGGGACGCCTCTCTAATCCTGCATTAGTTTATTTCTTCTTGTCATCAACACAATTTAATTAATATGCAGTATTCTGGAATATAATATAAGTAAGTACACCTGCATGTGGTTTACTGAAGTAATGTAATATAACAGACGTTGACAAATTTTGAATCTTTCGCATACCTATCTCTTTGTTTGGAGTCGTATTGTGTTATTTTCATATAATAAATTTGGAAACCAATTAATTTGGATAAATATGAAATTCCAACCGTAATGTTTGTGTAAGTGTTCACATGAAACGTGGGCTTTTATATAAATAATGAGTGCATACATTACATAAGTAATAAAAAATAATATAATTGAATATTAAATGCATAAGTTCGAAATATTCAACACATACCCATCAGGCTATATTTTAGTTCCAAGTATTGTCTCTAAACGTTCATGTTCCCGTTTAAACGGTGCCTCAATAATTTACTCTTTCGACATCATGTGGGGTCATGAATATACAGTCCAAAACAGTTACTAACTTTTGTGCGTGCAATATTAGGAATGGCTTATGTTTTACAAAATTCATCCACCTTCGCACTTATAATCAATTTGTATGAAATTTGAGTAGAAATTTTTAATATGTGTTCACACAAAATTTCTTTTGTAAGCTTAGTTAAGAATAGCGAATTTCAGAGAACAAAAATAGAGAGAAATTATG